TAAAATCGTTATATATTCCACACAATATCGGAAATTCTTAATTTTTTCCAATTAATACAATTTAGATTAGTAAATAAAATATTTTTGTATCGCAAGACGTTTTTCTATTATTGAGAAAAAATAAGAAAGTGCGATTTTTCGCGATAAAAAATTTCTTGGGATCATTTTCTCACTGTTTTAATTCTACAATGGTCGAGGCCAATCGGGAATACAGTTACTTCCTACACGATAACTGGACTTTCGGACAATCGAATCAATTGATCGCGGAGTTTCCGCGAAATGAAATCAGTCCTACTTTTACGTGTCCGAGAATCCCTCTCTACGTTCCATTACTCGCGAATGGTGGCAATTTTACGCAGTGAATTAAGGCCGTGCCAAACTAAATTCCATGTCGACGCAAGTAACCGGGTTTCGGAAATTTCCCGTGAGGGAAAGCGAAATGTGGCTCGACGACTCGAATAATCCCAATCCGTGGCACACGCGTTGTTTTGTCGGCTCGCGAATGGAAACTACTGAGTTGTCGGCGTCGCGATTGTAGTTCTTATCGCCAACGGTAACAGGGCGTACTCTCGCGTGCCGATGATTGCACGATTTCTGGTCGTCATACCGTGAGCATTGGCACGATATTAATATTATTATGCCAGTGAACTCTTGGACAAATCCTTCACGCGTTACCTGAGCGACTGCGATAATTTCATATAATACATCATATATACCGTTGTTTTGCTATAGACATCCATTGTCTATATCTATATCGACCCTTAATGACAGTTCCGTGAACATAATCTTTCAACAGCTTGTTAAGGAAAAGCGATCTCTTTATCGTTCAGCGATTCTTCATTATTAGTTATTAAGTCTATTTCGAGAGAAATGAAAGATGGATCTTTTCAATAGATTTTTCTCGTAATTTTTAATAGATATTTTCCCTTAAGAGAGTTCTATTGTCTACCTATTACTTCTATGTAATTATAAATTTTTGATAATAATAGAAAATAAAGCGTAAAAATACTCCAAATTTTCTTTTGTTAACGCGATGTATAATACATATGCAATAAATAGCCGAGTATTAGGCTATATAAAATCGTCATTTATCTATTTCGTTCGATTTCCTTTTTCTTTTATTTCTTAACCGGTAACGTTCTAAAGCGATAGTAGATGACTATCTAGATAATATGCGACCGGGAAATATGGACCAAGAGAATCAGCGGACGAAGAAGGATGATAAATCGATAATCGAGGCATCTCGCTAGCATACGCAGGAAAAAAGTTTGCTTTCAACGTCATTTTTTATCTTCATGAGCATCGTTTTTACACAGATTAAAATCGAGGATGAGAATTATATTCCGCAATCTACACTCTGCTGACAGATATAATTAATGTTTTTGCATAAACAAAAAATTAAACTGTGATTATTTTAGGTTTTAATATATACTTTGTTAGCATAATTACATTAAAAATATATTAATAACACAATATAAATTTTTCTAAATCACGTTATAATATTGTGTTCAAATATTCCATTATAAAGAGCCAAAAATTTAATGTTTAAGAGAAAGCAAAACGCAAAACGCAAGCCGCAAATAAAAATTCGATAGAATACAGCAATAGCTATAACTCTGATGCATAATTTATCATGCATCGAGTATATTCGAAACGCTAGCGAACGAAACTCTACGTAAATTAGATTGTACTTTCACACGAGGGAATACGATCGAGTACGCGTGTTTCGTATCCGCACATCCGCGAGAAATTCCTGCGTAAAAACATATCCATCCCAGCCATTACACAAAATGCCTATGGACGCCTATCGAATTTGCGGAACACCCGTAATGTTTCGTCAATATTTGCAATTTTGACTGGGCGATTCGCTGCTCGTGGTTTCGTTGAAATATCAGCAGCCGATGGACCGCTAACTACGCCAATATAACGAAACTTCATCTCGCGATGAAATACCGCATCAAAAATAATAATATATATTGTATCGCGTAATTTCATACATTCAATCAGATCGAATTAAAATTGTTGACTCTACTCGAAACATTTTTCCTAGGCAGCGGTGAAATATCGACGCTAAAAGCGAAACTTTGCTTCATGTTCAAGTAGAGACTTGTGCACTCTACCAATTAGCGTTTAAAGTTAGTTCTCCTGTTTAAAGAATCAAGCACCGACCGAATGTGGTGAAATGTAGTTTTCGTATCGCAAATGCAGTGCGCACAAGGAACGTATAAATAAATAAAAAGAAAGATGATTATTTCTTTTAAATTGACAATAAGATGTATAAGAAAAAAAATCGTCATTTTTTCTCCTATCATAACAGCTATTTCTTCTTTCCTAACTCTATTTTCTTTATATTGATCATGCATTATAAGTTAAAAATTACAAAAACTTCACTATATCGTAAAAATTCAGAAAGCATCGAGTTGATTGCGTTCGATAAATTTTATGAAATTTAATTATATGTATTAATATATCTTTTAATTGGATTCTCTTGCCTACGGATATCCAATTTTTTTTCGAAAGCATAATATGAGATTCGGGCATTTCAATATTATCCGCAGGCGATAGAACGGTCTCTATTTTCGCGCAATATAATCTCGCCATATTACTATATATGATATATGCTACATTTATATACAATTCACATGCCACATATAGGTATACATATATGTATATATACTTGTATAAACAGTAAATTAATCATTAGCACAGCCTAATAAATAATTACTTCTGCCGAGACTAATTTTGTCGACCGTATGCTTTAACATGCAAAGTCGATTAATCCGCTCTAAAAATTTGAGCGGACAAAGCTGTGGAAATATGATTCCGCATTTTTAGCAATTAAATTGTCTCTCTCACTCTCTGTCCTGCACTAGTTCCATCAGACCGGATTTACGTGTAAACAATATTAAACGAACAACTTTGCGAGAACTCTAAAGTGGATATGCCGTGCGAATGACGGTCTGTTTTGTTGTATCCTTACCGTCACGGCGCTTCTTGGTGGCTTAGCTTTAACACGGCAAATCCTACGATCGCCTGTAGCGGAGTTTAAGCTAGGCTTAAGTCTTAAGTGACAGTAATGAAACCGCGCGTGTCGGTCGGTTTTTGCCGAAATGGCATTTTCTTTCTTTCTCATGCGTGATACATCATTTACATCGGGACGAGCAGTTTCGAATTGTAATGCTCAATAGGCAACAACATATAAGACGACGATGAAAATTATTTACATGACATTAAAGTACGGTAGAAAGCCCTAAGCGATAATTTTGTTAGTCCCTTGGTAATACAAGAGTTAAACGCGTTATTAAGCCAGCTGCTGCAATTGCAATTTACATTTGTAATTCGCCCGACGTATATACGTAATACAAGAGAATAGTACATGGAAGATTATTTTCGCGGTAGGTTCCAATCGATATAACAAAACAATCGAACGGCGTAGAGGGCGACATTACGGTCTTTGAAAAACGGGTCAACTTTGGCAAATGTTTTTTTTCTCGCTACTCTACACTATGGCCGCGCTGTCTCTCGTCCTTTAATTAATTAGCACGGAAGCAGCAGGAAGAGGCAGCTGCCAAGCACGGGACAACTGATGGGCGGAATAGAGAGAATAGAAGGGAGATGAGAAAAGAGAGAGAGAGAGAGAGAGAGAGAGAGAAGAGAGAGAGAGAGAGATACAAACGTGAGGATAAAGATCAACGTTGCTACCGAAATATTAGCCTCGAGTGGCTGCACCGACGTTCAACTTCAATGCAATTTCGCATAGGGTATCCAGTGCCAAAAGATTCGCAAAGCATATAAATGCTTACAGTGCGAATACTACCTATTACTATTACCACTATCGTCCCTACGTTAAACTATTACTCTACGCATCTCCGCATGCGTTACGCGCATGTTTATTTAGCTACACCGTGTGTCTGACATTACGTAATTAAATGCATACAGCCTCAGGCTTAAGCACGTACGCGCGGCATTTTGCTGTATTAATCAATGAAAGAGCCGTGCTCTTCCTCTCACTCTCTCGCAAGAACGGATATGCACCGGCATCAAAAATAGTTTGGACGGTTTAAGATCAAACGCGTGTTCTCAGATTTACTTCCACTTCGGTTGCTTCAATCTTACCGACTATGAAAACTGGGATGTTTTATAACGCGATCAACCCACCACGAAAATGCGTTCTAACTCTTGGACAAAGCGTGCGAGAATTAATTATACAAAAAGGGAAGGAGAACGAGGCATGTTGAAATAATAATTGTAAATTCTTGGAGAATATAGAGCAAAATATTCTTACAGCTAAAATAACATGACGTTTTAAATATTTATAAATATTATAAAATCATTTGTAATACAAAATAATTGAAAAAGAAAGCGCTGTAAATTTAATTCCGTTGATATCCCTCCCTATGTATAATTTTGCTTGTCCCTTCATTTTTAACCAAGATAAAAAGCATAAAATATAAAGATGGCTTATATAATGCAAATTAAATAAATCTTTTAAGAATGAAATAATACATATGAAATATAAAGTTTAGATGCGATCACATTTTCAAATTATTTTAAATTATCAATGTGAGGACAGACGGTTTAGAAGAAGGATGGAATGAGAAAATTTTAAATCAGCGAGAAGATAGAATGAGAGATGTACGCCATGCGGTCCGAGAGAAAACTCGGTACCAACTTCGATCTACGCGAGCGTGTTGCATGGGTGGTCAGGTCTAATGAACGAATGGGGTCTTCGCGTAAAAGAAAACAAAAATAAATAAAAAAACTCTTGCGGTCAGTTACTTGTCGTCCTCTCGCCCGGTTTAGTTTACCTAGCAATGCGGTTCAAATCTGATGGTGCCGTAAGCTTTACCATCCTACACTTGAAATTAATCACTTTTTCATTAATTATGTCACAAAACGAATTAAAAAACTTGTATTAGAAGAAATTTCACTATCTTCATTATAATTTAACAATCTCTTCGAATTCTATATGAAAATACTACAGAAATTTCTCTTTTCAGGTATTTAACAATAGCAGTGTATAAAGATATAAGAACCTCACTAAGCCACGAGAAAAAGATACAAGTAAAAATACTCATTTAATGGAAATTGAAGGAAAAAATATCCAGTTATCAATGGATAAATTACTGGAAAAACGAAAGAGAACGGAAGCAAAAATAATTTAATTCACGGTATAAAAACGGCAATGTTTTCATATGAAAGAGATTGTTAATATATGTACATGTGCACATACATGTCACGCGTTTCAATGCTGAATGCTTATAATGCTTATCTCTTCTTTTATACACTATTATATAGGGTTACCGAGTCGTATGATCGATTATTGGCTGTTGGTTTACTACCCTCCTGAGATCTCTCGCCCTTTTGACACAATATACGCGAAGAGTACCAGATGCTCCCTCGTACGATCGGGAATTCATGATTCATGGTCAATTTAAAAGGATATGGGGATGTGTGTGTCAGTATAAATTTGCAATTCAAACAAATTAAAAAAATTTTGTTATTTTAAGTTTTCGCTTGCTTCTTCTTTTTTCTTTCTTTTTCTAAAGATTAAAGAAGTTATGTGTCAAATATAAAAATTGATCGAAGATATTATAATTTAGAAATAAATTACAATTTATAATGTTGAAACATTACAATTCATGATCTTCCTGTCGGAAAATGCGTTGTTGAATTATAATGTGAATTATATGGAGAACCACTAAAGGTTAACGCGCGTGAATTGCTGCATTAAAAAAGTGAAGAGAAAAAAACGATATTGGCACCTCTTGGCGCTATCGGCGATGTGAAAAGAAACGAACGCGGCGTATCTGCATGAAAACAGGTGGAAGCCAAACGTAAATCCAATTACGAGATAATCGCATTGCCTCGAGATTCGCACTCGGGTATTCGGGCGAACTATCGAGTGATTAAAAATAATACCTGACAACGCGTGCGCGGTCGGAAATTTGTTCACGTGTACACTAACGTAAACCATATCCACAAGCCATTCCACTTCACGTTAACTCGTAATTTCTTCTTTCTTTCGTTTTCCATTTATTCACATCGCTGCTATGTTACTATATCATTTTAATCCGTCACAAGCAGCTAATTCTTTCGTGTTACGAACAGGCCCATCACAAAATATACACAAAACGCGTTATTAGTCAAAGTAAAACTGCGGATAAATTTTAGATATAAATTTGATTCAAATTTTTGCCTCCTTAAGTCAGTAAATTACTGATGTATTTACTGACTAACGCAATAGTAGATTTTAGAACGTAATTTGCAGTAAATAAAGTATTAATTATATTCATTTCTGATAAAGTCAAACTGTATATATGTATAGATTAAATTAATTTTTGTTCATTGTTTTTAAATTGCAAAAATTTCTATATCAACTGGATGTAAACTATTACTATTTTTTCAAACTATAATTCCTATATTTAGATTATTGCCTTATTTTATGAATTATTATGGAATGATATGATTTTTATTTTATTTTTATTGTAGATATAAGATGTAAGGTTTTCTATTATAGCAATAATAAATAAATGTTTCGATTGTAGGAAAACTGTGGACTGACATTTCAACAACCGGAAACCGGAAGTCAGTAACAACAAACAGGAAGGATTATTACCGATATGCAAGTCGGTAACGCAGAGGTTGATACACGAGTTTCAGGTGTAATTTTGCAACACCCGATATAAATGCATTGGCTGCCGTCGGTATCAAAGACTTACCTTTGTTCGTAAGTTACCAGGAACGGTGTTATGTTGCGATACGAGTCGGTAAAATCGTATTACAGTTTTCTACTATTCTCTAATAAAGTTTTAAAGCTTTAAAGCACATATCTTTTGTAGTTACAAGAGAGTGAATGGTACAAAAATGCATATATTAAATATTAAGAAAGATTTGTATGTTTAAAAAAAAACTTGACTGTATCGCTAAAACATAACAACCGTATATTAATGATAAATGTCGACATAGTTAATTATAATAATAATATCTGAGTCTGAACTTATATAACAAAATAATTGTAATAGAATTGTAGTAGAAAGATTAATGTCTAAGAAAGACTTTCGCCTATTTCGTGATTATGCACAAACAACTTATATACATATATTTCCATTTTCGAATGTAAGATATATCGTACATATCTTTAAATTTCGAGCTTCATATAAAACCATATCAATAAAAAAATCAAAGATTGAAATATTTTATAAGATTGAATAATATTTGTTTTGCATTATCTAATATTATTAAAAAATGATAATGATTTTCACCGAGATATGTTTATGAAATTAATCTTCTTAATTATACTAAAATATGTACATTTTTGTACATGCAAATTAATGTTTGTTGATCAAATCTGAATTAAAATCAGACATCTCAAATCAACTTTATTGCATTCATTTCAATGGTATCTTAATAGAGTAATGAAAATGTCTCATGTACTCGTAACAAACGAGTCGTACTGCTCAAGAATTGGGAATGTATTGTAAAATATATCACAGCATAAAAAAATTAAATTGGGGTCAATTTTCGTAATGAATATATCATAAAATATAACGTACTGCTAATAGTGTAGCAACGTGTATCAAATAGCCTTATATGATAAAAGTATAATAAATAACTGAATTTCTTCTTTTGTTAAATACAATAATAATTTAAAGTTTTAAAATAAAATAGTTTGTTACATGCATAACTCATACAAGAAAAATATTTAACCTTTGTGCAAACTTATAATTTTCTTTTTTATTTTTATATAATAATAATTATAATTTAGCTGCTGTGGTGTTATATATATGGCATATAAATAAATTTTATATTAATTGTAAATTAAAATAGTTTAAATTAAGTGTTTATTTTAACAATAACATATATATAAATTAGATCAGAAATATAAAACTGAATAAATGTTTATGTAAACATTATAAGAAGTAAAGAATCTAAGTAAAGGAAAAAGTAATTATATTTATATTTGCACAAATTAATATATGCAACAAAGACAAAATTCAGCTACAAATAGACCTCATATATATGCATTGTACATAGTACATTCTTTGATAAGAATTTTATCATCTCTAGTAAATTAAAAATACATGATTCTTAAAAATAATCCTCAATAATCTTAAATAAGAGTTTAATGTAAAACAACTGTGTTTTCTCTGCAATGTTTCAAATATAAAATCATATAATATATATAGAACACAAATAATTATGTATATATGTAATTGATATTTATAGTATACTCATTTTGTTATAAATATTCATTTACAGACATAGTGTATACACAAGGCAAATATTAAATTCTAAAAATATATCTCAATTGTGTAACATTTGATTTGAATAATTTATAATTAAAAAAATAAGACAATAGAGATGTTAAAATTATTTTCTATATGCGTATATGTGTGATCATTCTGGTCAGCAAGAAATGCAAAATATAAAATAAACAACATAATAATAAACATACGTTTGTCGGCGTTACTGCTCGGATACTTGGAACATCCCTCCACGGGATGTCTCTCTCGGTACGCACCTGTATGTCGTTTTTCAGAAACTCTCGGAATGTGGTTAGGTCCGCCCTGAAAGCAAACATTACAGAGACACACATTAATTTCAATGGAAAAATCAATACGTTCCTTCGCATTTCGAGGAACGCCGTCGTTATTATATTTAGCCATATTGTCACATTTAAAAGTACTGGCAATTATGTTTATATATATCCGACTAAAGCGTGACAGTGTCGAAGTGTCAGTTCGCGACGCGATTTACTCCGAGACGACGAGGACGACGTGCACGCGAAGAATCGTTCGTCTCGAAACGCGACAACGATAAAATCACAATAATACTTGAACGAGCGACGAGCGTTCGATCTCGCGCCCACGACATTCGATATATTCGGCATTCTGGCCAACTGTCACAATACGCGAAACGCTCGCGGACGAACGGGTTACTATGGTGACGCTCGTTTATCTACCGGCGCGTCAATGACCGCACACACGCGGACGTCGTCGACGTAGCGTAGTGGAATCGGTATATAAACAATCCCCGATTGTTTACTAGCGTTACATTCTCGTCGTACCTGGAGACATTCACGCGACATTCGACGACATTTGACGGCGAAATCACGCGACGGAATTTTTCTGGAACAACGACTCCGGGTAACGCGACTCGGTAAAGAGCCATAAATATCGAAAAAAAGTGGAAAGAGAGAAAAATTGACTTGACTTTGCGAAATATACAGAGAGGTTATACGTCGCGCGCACTGACGAGACTCGGCGAGACTGACAGTACTAACACACGCGACTCCACTTCACTTCATTGTCCGGAATGCGCTCGGACGATTGCTGCTTGGTTTTTTTTTCGAATCACATGTCGCGACTAGTCTGTGGAATCGATTCTTACGCCCGAGGACTGGTAAACAAATCCGACTGTCTGACAGCGCAAAACGGAGCAAGTCGCTGAGTACTGCGCATAAAGAACGACGAAAAACACTCACCGCGTTTACGGCGATCTTTCCGACACCTCACCGTGCCGCAATTACATCATAACACACATGCGCACGCACACTACCTATCTCCTAGGCACTGATATTAAAAAACTCGTGTAAAATGTATAAAAGAGGTAATAGTTAGGAAGCTGCCAAGAGGATTGCCATAGTGATGCCAATACTAGGCGGCCATATTGTGCTACGCCGCGTCTTGCTCTACCTAGTGAACAATTTGGAAAGCATCTACAAAAAGAGCGGGCCGATTCGGTCTGTTGTATCGACATAAATAAATATTTTATTAATTTTTTATTTTGTTCCAAGTTTATTATTTGGTTTCCTAACAGGAAATCCGGAATATATAAAGAGAACAAGAATTTAATTAAATCATATAGATACATAATATATGTCGGTACAATAGACTACTTCCTTCTCACGTTGTAATTAGTTTTAGAACGAATACAAATTTGATCGAGTCATTAATCATTTAGATATTTATTCGTCAATTTTGGATTAATTGATTCAAATTGTTAAAATTAAATCAAACTTTCAGTGATGTTACTTAAAAATTATTCGTACATTTACACAGAAATAGTCAGAGATGGCTCCACGAATATGACTTTCAAAAATATGGTTTAATCTACTTATAACTATTTCAACGCATCACTTGATGCGATTTTATTTTACACAAATGCATGTACTTGATATATGCTTGTGTTAAAAGTCCAGCCAAATAGAACGACAATTTTTGCGACAAAAGTTTTTACAGTAATAGTCATCTCTTTTGACTTTAAAACAAAAAATATACATATAAAATAATGTAGACACATAACAACGAGTATTATGAAACAAATGGCTATTCATATTACATTCCTCGATAGTAGTTTGGTTCATATTCTGTTAATTGCCTCGTAGGATAAATTAATTAAGAATATAAGCTAGAAAAAAATATATTTTTCATTTTTACAACTGGATAATAATTTCCATGTTTTTATAAAAGTCAGGATATTATTAACAGAGATTTTAGAGATGATGAAAATGTTTGGTCAGCTTTTTTCGCAATGCAGAGAGAGCTTTCGAAAGAATAGAACGCGCGTTTAAAGCTGATAGCACTCGTAAAATGTTTCAGAGCGACATATATAAAGAGAGAAAATCGCGCGCGAGAAAATGTCTAGCTTCGCGACATGCGTGCAACAAATTGTCGCGTGCAACAAATTGTAAGCACACAAGGGTGTGTTTCACGCTAGGAACTTTGCGTTCGTTACAAGACGAAGGAGGCTGCAAGGAGCGAGGAGACCATCGCGTTAAGAGTCGTTACGCGAGTTAGGATATCCACCGCCATACGAACGCGAGTAACTCCTTTAACGAACTCCCAAACGAAGTTCGGCTTCTTACTTCTCCGATTTCAGAGTTACGAGCTCATCTAATTAATATCAAGGATTCCTTGCTCGGAAGATACTTGAAACACGTGCCTTCGCTTTCAACGGCGAATGTCATCCTTTTTTTTTTCCTTTCCTCTCCCTTTTCTCCCTCTCTTTCTCTCATCGTTCGTTTCTTCACAATTAGAGGATAGTCCAAAGTTTCTGCCCGTTAGAGAAACTGGTTGAAAGGAATTACTAATTGCTTACTTTCCAACTTGAATTTAAAACTGTTTCAAGTTGGCTCGTTTTCGGTTATCCGGTTACACTCACCGCTAACGGAGCGCGGAGTACAGTGCGAGCGAGCAATTAAAATTTAGCTTCGACGCGATATCACGTAATTGACGTGACTTTCCACCACCGGGGGCAGATATAGGCGAAATATAATTTTATTGCGCGGGCGTGTCTAATAACTTATGCTCGCACTGAACTCAGCCTCCGAAAACTTTGCGCCGGAGATATATTTTCGTTCATCGTCGTAGACGTTATAATAGGAGGAGATTGAGGTTGCGAAGGTGGAGTTTCAAACTCGCATAAATGTGTGCAGCGCGGCGCGGGTCTCCTTCCACGTTTCTGATTACTTCGCAAACTTTGTACTAGTCGGAACGATGCAACGGAAGCTTTTAGACACTTGTTTCTGGTGCGTTACGCAATCTCTGTAAGCCGACTTCTCTCTTTTTTTTTTCAGGACACGCAATAGCAAAGAGTCCGACTGCCAGCGAAATAGACGCAGGATATAGCGCAATCCATAAACGAGGAGTATTCTCGTTTTATTATCAAGAGAGGGAGAGAGAGAGAGAGAGAGACAGAGAGAATCGAAAGATTAAATTTAAAATTGTAACATTTTATAACTATTTAATAAATAAAATTTAGCGAGAGAAAGCACCATGTGTCGTCGAACTCGTCGATCTGCTTTTCCGGAATAGTTCGCGCGAAGACCACAATTGCAGTCAGCGACCGCATTGCTCGCGTGCATTGGGAACGCAGGTCGGTGCAATTGCGCGGCTCGTGTTGCGTGTTCCGTCCCGTCCAATGTATCGCCCGAACAATGTAGCACGTCAGCTTTTGTCCGCGCTGTCTGTTTCATTCACCGTTAATAAAATACCTTTCGAAGGTATTGCATAGGAAGAACGTGAACGTCTCGCGTCGTCTTTGCTATTCGCTGCTCGCGAAACGTTACTCGCAAAGGGGACACTTGTACGTTCAAGGAGCAGCAAATATCCGACATTTTACATCGCATCGTATGGAAGCAGAAATGTTTATGCGACGACTCGGGGATATGTTATGTCGGAGTTGATTACGGCATTCGTAGAAAAGCACCACATAACAGATAAAAGTGAGATTGGACGAAAACCAATTTCGCATCTGACTTAACATAAGCGCTGAAGAATTGAGTAATGAAATAAATATCAAAGCGTTATGTATTTTCGTATTATTTTCTTTCACGGTACTGTTTATATTGTATATGTTGTAAGCATTGTACGGCACAATATATATATATATATGCGTCAGTCAATAACAAAACGATCAGATGATGTTTTATCGAAAACAGAAAAGGGCAACATTGACATTCTCTCGTAGAATATGAGAAGAATGAAACACATAGAACAAATATCACGTAATTTCTCACGCGCTTTTTTCTTCTTTATCAAATATTTTTAAAAGACTTCACAATATAATTAATAAAATATTTTTCTAATACAAATTTACTAATGTTGCTAATAAAATTATAATTATCGCAAATTAATTAATAAACACATAACTAGTGAATAATAAAGATAGCGTATAATAGTTTACATAATAATTAGTATATAATATTCAAATGCGCACACACATACATATCTTTTTCGAACAAATATTAATATTAATTTCCAAAGGTAACGCGTCAATTGCGACCATTTATAATCGACTATCGACTTTAATGGATCGACGTTCGATTATTTGGCTTCCTTCAAACTTGCTACTTTGCTGCGATAATATTGCGAATTTCACCAAACTGATTTCCCGTGGGATAAATCCTAAGTAAAGCTGCCATGTCTTACTGGAAATTCGCGTAAATTTATCGTAAAGACTTAGATTGCAATTTCACACGATACACGCTTCGATTTTTTGCTTCATAACTATCTTCACAGATAAAACTTTAGATATTTACTTCCGGTTTCATCCTTCTCTACAAATTGTTCTTTCCCTTCTTTGTATTATGTTCCCAAGTTATATAAAAATCTTGTTTTATTGAAGTTATTTTAAAATTGATCGTCAATAAAGAATAAAAAATAAAATACAAGAAGAGAAATAAAATTATAATAAAATTATCCCGTGTATAATGTGCATATAGAATTATTGTAGTAATTTATTATGTGATACACATACAGATACACCACTTTAATGTCCGAAAATATAAAGTACGAATATTCAGAGACAAATAAATCGCGATATGCCATCGATGTTACGAATCCCACCGAACGTACAATACGATGTGCGTTACGTGTTCGAAATTTTGGACCAGAGTGCTCGGCATTGATCTCGTAAATCGTCGGACTGGCGTTTCAATTCCCATTACCAAAAGGGAGCGGAACGTGCGTGTGTGTGACCCTTACGAGTGTTATATCGCACCCCAAGCAAGATCGGTGTCATTAAAGGGTTAACTGAAATTGGACGAGACTGCGATCTTCTTCTAGAGATTCAGGGATGCCAGATTACTAAATGTGCACGTCGCGTCTCTAGAAGAAGAATAAATTTGTGTGGCAAAGTAAATTAGTACGCATCTATAACGATAGTGCTAAATCAATAAGAGAGAATATTATGTGATTTTTCTCGTAAAGATAGACAATCATCAAAATGTCGAAACGAATTAAATATACTTTGTAAATATTTATTTAAAATTCTAAATTCTTAATCTGCAAAAAAAAGTTGTCTTTGTATTTGGATATTTTATAATTTTTCTATACTTTCATCTATTTGTCACTCTATTCCTTCGAGATGTCTATAAATTGGAGAAAATATTATAATACATCCTTCACGGTGATCTAAGCTATATATATGCAATTGAGTCAAGATTTGCGGGTACTATACTCGCGAGACGTTTAGGATTCGACGCGAGCTTGGATACGTGAGGAATTACGAAGCTTGCAACTGTTTGAGAATTCATAGCACTGTCTCGTACCGGTAAAGTATCCAGATCACTCGATCGCCAACGGCGAATTCCTAAGAATTCCTTATATCGCTGAAATAACTGGTGTACGTGCCCGAGAGGCGGAAGCGACTTCAATTTCTGTCCCCGAAGAGTGAAATCCGGCGTAGAGGCACGAGAGGAAAAATTTGCACGCCGCAGAAAGCAGCGGTTTGACCAACGTCGCCGGCTTTGCTATGCCGGACAGATAGTCGATATTTCCCGCGGAACATATTTAAGCATGGCATTTAACTGCTAACTTTGAATACGTTATATACGAGTGACCTTTCTCCGAGCCGCAAACGCCTATATACGCGCATTTGATTTTCTGCACAGGATGCACGGTTGCGCGTGTTATCGAGTCAGCTTCCGCGCTATTTACGAAAGGTCAGCCGAGGGGTTGAATCCTCGGTCCTCGGGGGTGAATACGTGAGGGCTTGGTCGGAGTATTGTCGAATTCTCGGCCGCGCTGTCCTCGTCGTCGAGTTTAGTTAGGATATCCAGAGATATTAATCGGAAGCGCGGAAGCCACAAATAACGACGCGATATTTAACGCGCGATTTGATAAAAGCGGGCAGCGGGAAAATACAGCCGGCTAACCACCTTTAATCGAGATTGT